GTAATGATTCTTGATGTTTGCATGTCTTTGAAGATGATCCTTTTGATTCCTGGCCGCTCAGTCCCTTGACCGCCTCCCTTTTAGGGATGTTGTCCACGCTGTCTTAGCACACACCTCCCAAGCTCAGGCTCTTCGTTTCCAGTGACGGCATCCTCCACCACCTCAGCTTCAAGCACTCCCTCCAACCATTGCCCAGTATTTTTCTGCTCAGCCTCTTTGGGACCCCAAGTCCACCGGTTCCTTAACCTTCCCATAACCTCCACACTTACTGACTATATCATTGCTTCACTCTTCTTACCCCCTTCCCATCCTACCTCCTCTGACCAGACGTGGTTTCCTGCTCCACCATACTCCCTCACGTTCACCCTGAATGCCCTGGCTCCTTTCTTCCTCTGTCGACCTGCCTGGCTAAACCCCATTCCAGGCTAAATCTAACCCTTAGCCCATCCCACACCTGCAGGGGAATGGCTGAAGGAGGCTGGGAAAAACACACACCATGCGAACTGGCTTCTCTTTAAATGCACGAGCACCCACATAGGCCCAGCTCCACACGCAGCGTTTTCCTCCCTTCTCTATCCATTCTCCCTCTCTCCTGGGAGACAGTACACCCCTTCCTTACTCCTCTTTTAAATTCGGTGACATAATAGATGCAATCAAGCTAAATCAACTTACTGGTCTTGACCTGCACCCAAACATTCTCCTCCCCTGCTGTTATAATGAATGATATGTTACCAGCACCCTACCCCTTCCCACCTTCTTAAGATCATCGCTCTGTAATTCTTCCTTTTCTCTCCTCCATTATCAGCAATGCCTCTTCCCTCAGAGCCTTTCTAGCATCATCCAACACCTGCTATCATGTCTCCCCTTAAACTCATATTTCCCCTGAAGTTCTCCTTCCTGCCCCACTCTACCCCTTCCTCCCCATCACCAAGAAACATCTTCAAAAGAGTTGACCCTACTCACCACTTCTGTCCAACGTTTTTAATCCTCTCCAATCAGCATGTGCCCCACGGCTCCACTGAAGTCTCTTCTGACGACGCGCCATCCCTGTGTTACCCAACCCAACAGTCACACCTCAGGGCTTGTCTTCCCTGAATAAGCAGCAGCCGGTTCAGATGGAGGGCTCCTCCCTGTGAAGCACTTTCCTGTCTCGGCTTCTTGGGTAGCTCTCTCTTGGTCCTTCTGGCTTCACAGTCACCTTTCTAAGTTCTCCAACTTCCTCCTTTAAACCCGGAGTTTCCCAGGCCTCATTCTTGCACCTGATTCTTCCTTATCTCCCTTCTCTACCTAGATTCCGTGGTCGGCAAACTGAGGCTCGCGAGCCACATGCGGCTCTTTGGCCCCTTGAGTGTGGCTCTTCCTAAGCCTTAGGAGTACCCTAATTAAGTTAATAACAATGTACCTACCTATATAGTTTAAGTTTAGAAAATTTGGCTCTCAAAAGAAATTTCAATCGTTGTACTGTTGACATTTGGCTCTGTTGACTAATGAGTTTGCCGACCACTGGCCTAGATGATCCCAACCCAGTCCTGAGGCTTCAAATACCATCATACGGTGAAGGCGTCTGTCCTCATGGAGCCCACGGTGTGAAAAACAAGCAATAAATGGATATGCAATTATCTCTCCCACTCCCTAAAATCAAGGAAAACATATTTAAAAAAATGATGAAGCCTATCTAAATATTTCCAGTCTTAGACTTTTTGGTGCAGGATAAATAAGACTTTCTTAAGCATCCTACTAGTCGCTCCTTTTGAGTTATTCTGCATATCTTTGACATGTCCTAATAGATATTTGGGTGCCTATCTGGTAAGGAGCCACTGTGATATGACATTTAACACAAGTGAAAGGAAAGAAGGAAGAGGTCATGACAGCTTTTATTTGGACTGTGAGCACTGAAGGTTTTCACCCTGAAATTCTCAGCACCTAGCTCAAGGCTCGGCACATGGTGGACAAAATAATTACTAGCTGGATGGATGAATGAACAAATAAATGACCAAGTAAGCAATTTGAGAGACCCCAAAACTATCACGTATGTTTGAGTCTACTTAATATTACGAGAAACTTTCGATAAATATTCCTGCTCTAGCGTGTGGTGATTTGTATGACAATAATAGATATTTCCTGAACACCAGTTTTATGCCAGAGACTTGAGGTAAATCATTTCTAATTTTCACAGCAAACACGACAAATAGAGATTGGTTCCCCCATTTCCTGGGGAAGAAACAAGGCAGGGGGACAAGGCAGGGCGGACATTGCAAAGGTAAGAGCCACACCCACTCTCAGATCACCTGGAGGGGAAATGATTGAAAACTTTCCTGTTACTCTCTGGGCCTAGTTTTCGTTCTGTTTCCTAGGTGTCCCTCCTTTCTCTTTTGGTGTCTTTATTTACTTCCTACAGTTCGTGTCCCCCTTGTTTTCCGTCCTCAGCTTCTGCCCTTTCCTGTCTGCCCTCTTGGTCTCCCTCCTGCCCTCCATGTTGGGGCCTCGCCCCATTCTCTTTGTCAGCCCACCAGACTAGGGCCAAGTCATTTGTTTACTTGGGAGTCTGAGCTGAGAAGAGAAGTTAACGTCTCTCCACACGTTCAAACAAAGAAAAGGACGTTTTCTATTCCCTTTCATGGTCAAAAGATGATCCTTTCTTCCCCTTCACAAAATCCATTTAGGTGTTTATAGACCAGTTATCTTAACAATGACGGTCCGTGGCTTTTCTCTCGGTGCCAATTAACGTTCTTAATTGCCTCGCTCTAACCGGCTCACCTTTGGTGTGTCGGGTCGAGCTCTCTGACAAGTTTATTTTCGATTATAATTTACATTGCCAAGACAGACAGATATTTATGACGGTAAACTCTCCTGCGCACTGGGCTTTTAGCTTCCCGGGGTTTGTTTTAATAAAGAACGCTGTGACAAATTTACAGAAGAGCCTTCTCGGGGATATATATATTTTTTAAGATAAAGTTCGGAATAGGCACTTTTTTTTGAGAGGGGATGCAGGACCTGTGTGTGGTAGATAACCCAAGAAAACATTTAAAAATTTAAAAAGCAAGAGAAAACTTTTAGGAAAGGTTGTGGGAGCCACTCCAGAAATGTCCGAGCGCAGGAGGCATCAGAACTGCTCACAAAACGGGAAGAAATGGAAGCGGTTTTAGCAGAAAAAATTTGTTCAATCAATTGAACCTTCAACTTGCTTTTGAAAATCTATACATTTCTCCTGCCCAGTTACGAAATAGGTGAGCATCCTGATAAGCGTGTTTATGAGGTTACCGATTCAGCTTGATCCCTCACATTACTGAGGTTCGTGTCTTGCACAAGAGCCTACAGAAGGAATAAGGCGGCATTTGAAAAAGGCTTTTGAAGGGCTGTGAATTTGGGAGATAGCGACATTCATTTCAGAAAGGCTCAAGATGTGAGGCTTGAAGGAAAGAAATTCCTTCCTTCAGATTCATTGAAATATTCTCTATACTAAAACAACTCAAATATGTAACAGGATTGGGTAAGTAAATGAAAGGTTCATTCACAGAGTGAAAAATTACATAAGACACATTTACAATGTGTGTGTGTGTTTAATGCAACGGAAAGGGCTTCTGAAATCATGTTCAGTGAAATAAACAACTCCAAACTGTACTTTCAAATTGACCTCAATTATGTAAAGGTTATGATATTCATGGAAGAAAGATTAGAAGAAAATTCACTAAAGTGTTATCTTTCTCTAATCTTCAGAGGAAGCAAATAAATTACTCAGATCAACCCAAGGAGTGAATAAAATTGTTCAATCTTTGCAGGAAAGGCCAGAATGCAGGGGTCTGACTCAGTTGGGGGAGGTTAACAAGGCTCCCGGGGACAAGGTAAGAGGATTAGATTGTGATTTAGTACTTAACATTTTATTAGAAAGTATCTTACTATTAAACAATGCTAGGTAGATGCTCATATGGCTTTGAAATCATATTGCCTACAGACCTGCTTTCTGAGCTTCAGCACTACTGACATTTTGGGTCAGATAATTCTTGGTTGTGGGGGCTGTATAGGATGTTAGCGTGATCCCTGGCTTCTACCTACCAAGGACCATTAACACTCTTGAGTTGTGATAACCCAAAACTGGCTCCAGACATTGCCAAATGTCCTCTGTGCGGGAAGGGACAAAATCGCCCCCTGCTGAGAACCACTGCTGTGGACTTAGAGAACCAGCCTCCACTACAGTGTGTGAATGCCCGGGAGTTACCTAAAGACCCATATGCGTGGGCTAGAGTGAGCTCATCGAGTGACTTGGGGGCAAAAAAGCCAGGCCCGTCAACTTTCTCATTCCTTATCCATCTAGTCTTCAACTAAAGAACCTGCCCCCAAAATTTTCACTTTCTGACAATTCATT